TGGAGAGCTGGGGGGGCTGGTGTGTGTGGAGGGCACTGGGACAGGAGCGGCCTCGGGGAGGTGCTGGGGGGCTGGCATGTGGGGAGGGGCTGGAGAGCTTGGGGGCTGGTGTGTGTGGAGGGCACTGGGAGAGGAGCGGCCCGGCGAGGTGCTGGGGGGCTGGTGTGTGTGGAGGGAACTGGGAGAGGAGCGGCCCGGGGAGGTGCTGGGGGGCTGGCATGTGGGGACGGGCCTGGAGAGCTGGGGGGCTGGTGTGTGTGGAGGGCACTGGGAGAGGAGGGGCCCAGGAGGTGCTGGGGGGCTGGCACGTGGGGGAGGGAGCAGGAAGAGGGGCACTGGGAAAGGACGGGTCACTGCCCCCTAGTGACCCATAGTGGAATCTACTGCCAGGGGTCTTATGACAGCTACCAGGCCCCATTCATGACCCCCTCCCTTTTGCTGCCCCTCTGGGATATGTTGCTCCTGCCCCCTCCGCTTTCATTCCCACTGCCCCCTCCCCACAACTCCCTCCCCTCTACCCTCTTTCCCCACTGCCCCACCATGTTCTCCCCGCTCCCCCACTCAGCCCCCTCCCACCAACCCTTTCTCCAATCTAAGCCCTGGTGGTCCCTTGGCCCCAGACTCCTCCTCCCCATCCCCCTGCTGTCCCTAACTCCCAACCCATCCCAACACTGTCCCAGCCCATGACCCGTCCCCCTGCTGTCCCCAGACCTCTGAGACATCCTCCACAATCCCCATCCCTTCCACACCTCTTCTCCCCATCCCCTGATCCCCAACCACACCTCCCGCCCCACTCCCCCATCCTCTGACCCCCAACCACACCTCCCACCCCAGTCCATCCTCTGAGCTTGTGGAGGCCGGGGGAGGCAGAGGATGAGGGGGACTCGGGGAGAGGGAGCCAGATGACCTGGTCAGGCTGGTTAAACCTGGCCAGCCCCCAGAGATCTTTAGCTGCTCCCCAAAGAGTTAAGAGATCAACACCGCCACCCAGTGGCCAAAGACTGCAGCTACACACCCTGCGGCTCGGTGCCTCAAAGGGGCGTTGCGGTGATTGGACTTTCACTCCGCCATGTTTTTGATCACCAGGAATTCTCCTCCAACCTCAGCTTCCTCATCACCTTATTTGTGGCCCTGGCTGTTTTCTCCCTCATCCTCATCCTGGTCTGCATCGAGAGCATCTTCCAGGAATGCACAAGGGTCTTCTCGGTCATCATCTGGGCTTGTCTCCTAGCCATGGGCTACATCTTTGTATTCACCAGTGGAGTGGTCAGTGCCTGGGACCAGGTGAGACCTAGGGGCGGCTATACTGTATGATGGGCACTAGGGGCAGCAGAGGATGGGGGCGGGGAAGGGGCGGCTATACTGTATGATGGGCACTAGGGGCAGCAGAGGGTGGGGGTGGGGAAGGGGCGGCTGTACTGTATAATGGGCACTAGGGGCAGCAGAGGGTGGGGGTGGGGAAGGGGCGGCTGTACTGTATAATGGGCACTAGGGGCAGCAGAGGGTGGGGGCGTGGAAGGGGCGGCTATACTGTATAATGGGCACTGGGGTCAGCAGAGGGTGGGGAAGGGGCTGTTATATGGAAATAATGCTCCGTGCTGAGACCTGCCTGGCCTGACTCCCCTTCTAGGTCTCATTCTTCCTCTTCATCATCTTTACCGTGTACACCATGCTGCCCGTGTGCATGCGGGATGCCGTGGTCGCTGGCCTTGCCTCCTCCCTCTCCCACATCATTGTTTTGGGCGTCTACCTGTCAGCCGGGAGGGGGTCACGGGCTGAGCTGGCTGTGCAGGTGAGACCCTCCCTCCCTGCTGCCCCCCTGGGGTCCTTTGTTCCCCCACAGCAACACCTTCCCTCTCTGCCCTGCTGCCCCCTTGCCTTGATTCTTCACTGCCCCCTGCTGACCCTTAGCCCTGTTCCTACCCAGCCCGTGTCCTATTGATGTCCTGCATTTCCCAGAAACCCCCTTGTCTCCCGACCCCCTCCTTCTAGCTCCCCATAATGACCCCTTTCCCTAGCTGCGTCCAATCCCCTATCCCCCCCAATTGTCCTGTAGAGGCTGCCCCCCCACCCTCATCCCCTCATCCATTGCCTCTCCCATTCATCCACCCCCAGTTGCCCCATAGATTCCCCAATGCCATCTCCCTTTTCATGCCCCCCTCAGAGCCCCATCTCATCGTCCTCTCTACCTCCCGCCCCCCACAGCTGCTGGCCAACACGGTGATCTTCATCTGTGGCAACCTGGTGGGAGCCTATCACAAGCACCTGATGGAGGTGGCTTTGCAGGAGACCTTCCAGGAGACCTTCAAACTCATCCAGTCCCGAGTCAAGCTGGAGTCTGAGAAACGGCACCAGGTGAGGAGGGGGACACCTGGATATTTGTCCCTTTGTCTCACCTTCGCATACCCACTCTGTCCTTCCATCTATCTGATTTCCACATAATCCCTCCCTCCATCCATCCATCCACCAATATGCCAGACACAGCCCTTCCATCTCTCCCCTTCTTCATCCATCCCATCTCCAGATTCGTAGATTCATACCTTGCAAGGCCAGAAGGGACCATTGTGACCATCTTGTTTGAACTTCTGTTCAACACAGGCCAGAGACCTGCCCCAAAATAATTCCTAGAGCAGATCATATAGAAAAAACATCCCATCTCGATCTAAAAATAGTCACTGATGGAAGTCCCCCTTGCCCCTTGGTCAGTTGTTCCAGTGGTTAATTACTCTTACCTTTTAAAATCTATGCCTTATTTCCAGTCTGAATTTATCTAGCTTCAACATCCAGACATTGGATCATGTTAGACCTTTGTCTGCTAGTCTGAAGAGCCCGTTATTAAGTGTTTGTTCCCCATGTAGGTACTGATAGACTGTAACCGTGTCACCCCTAAACCTTCTCTTTGTTAAACTCAATAGATTGAGCTCCTTGAGTCTATCACTCAATGGCAGGTTTTCCAACCTTTGAATCATTCTTGTGGCTCTTCTCTGAGGCCTCTCTGACTTACCACTGTCCTTCTTGAATGGTGGGCATCAGAACCTGACACAGGATCCTAGTAACGGTTGCACCAGGGCCAAATCCCGAGGTAAAATAACCTCTCTACTCCTACTCGAGATTCCCCTGTTTATGCATTCCAGGATCGCATTAGCTCTTTTGACTATCCACCACAACCCCTAAATCCTTCTCAGAGTCATATCTGTGCATCCATACTTCCAGCTTCCATATACTGCCCTTCCTCCCCACCCCCATCCATGGACCCACCCACCCATAGCTTTCCTTCTGTCCATCCATACCCATACACATCTGTCTATCTAATCTCCATACATACCCCTCCCTCCCTTGTCCAGCCCATACACATCCCTCCTGCCGTTCCTCCCCATATCCACTCACCCACGCTCCCATCCATCCCTTCCCATTCCCATGCCCATTCATCCACCCACCCATACCTTTCTTTCTCTTTCATCCATCCATCCATCCATCCATCCATCCATCCATCCATATACACACCTATCTGTCCATCCAACCCCATCCCCATAAACACCCATCTGTCCATCCATCCCCATAAACATCCATCCATCCATCCCCTAAACACCCATCCGTCCATCCATCCATCCATCCATCCATCCATCCATCCATCCGTCCATCCCCACCCACCCCTGATGCCTCTCACTCACTCTCTACACCCTCCCTCCCCCCCAGGAGCACCTCCTTCTCTCCATCCTGCCCGCGTACATCGCCATGGAGATGAAGGCCGAGATCATCGAGCGGCTGCGGGATGGGGGTCATCAGGAAAGTCCAAACAATTTCCACAACCTCTACGTCAAGCACCACAAGAACGTCAGGTACCGAACCCCCATCTCCACCCCACGCCGTGAGGGGGCAGCAGGGCATGGGGGGGTAGGGGGGTGAGTGTTGTGAACCCATGATCCCCTTTTATAAGCATCCTATTTGCTGAGGGCTGCCAGGGCGGTGGAGCAGGGTTAGGGGGTGTCTCCCCGACTCTCACCCCTGATGCTGTCTCCCCCCCCTTCCTAACCCCCCCCACAGCATCCTGTACGCCGACATCGTGGGGTTCACAAGGCTGGCCAGCGAGTGCTCCCCGAAAGAGCTGGTCCTGATGCTCAACGAGCTTTTTGGCAAGTTTGACCAGATTGCCAAGGTACGAGCCGGATCTCCCCCCCCAAAAAAAACCCCTCCAGCCTCCCAGAAGCTCCTTACATCTCTGCACCCCTCATCAGGAGGCCCCTGCCCCCAGCACCTCCCTGGGACATCTCCATCCCACTGGGGACCCCCTCCTGCATCCTGTGGGACCCCCACCCCCAGTACCTCCAGAGACACCCCCCAAACTCCACAGGGATCCACCTCTATACCGTCCCAGAGGTCAGCCCCCTTCTGTGCCATCCCTACCCCCTTTCATTCCACAGGGTGCCCTTGTACCCCCATGGGAACCCCTCCGCTCCCTCCCCCCAGGGGGAGATGAGGACCCCTGCCTTCCAGAGACCCACTGTCTCAGACTGAGACCCCTTAGGGATCCCATGCCCCCTCTAGCCCAAAGACCTCCTACTTTCTCCTGGGGGCTTCCAGGGAACCCCCTCTCCCCTGCCCGAAGCCCAGATCTCCAAGGATCGGCCAGAGGTCGCAGGAGGGAGGGATTTCATATCTCTGTCATAGACCTAACGAGACCATTGTGATCATCTAGTCTGACCTCCTGCACATCTCTGTAGTGGCTCAGAGCCCTCCCCATCTCCAGACATTGGAGATATTGCCAGTAGCTGACATGGATGAGGCCGTATGCCATCGGACGCAACCTCATCAGACCATCTGTGAGTCCGTGACACCATCCCCTCCAGAAACGTATCCAGCTCAATCTTGAAGCCAGTTAGGTTTTTTTCGCCCCCACTTCTCCCCTTGGGAGGCTGTTCCAGAATTTCACTCCTCTGATGGTGAGAAACCTTCATCTAATTTCAAGCCTAACCTTGTTGATGGACAGTTTAGATCCATTCATGCCAGCTTTGGTCCTGAATGTCAATAACACCTCTCCCTCACCTGGTGTTTATCTCTCTCTCTCATGAGCGCTGACCGAGCAGACCAGCAACTCAACACAAGCTCCCAGTGCAATGTTGGGGCAAAACAGGCGAACACGATCCTTGGACATAGATCAGCAGAGCGGTGAGCGGGGGAATGGAGGTGATTTTTACCTCACTGGGGAGAGTGCCACTGGGACACCGCATCCAGTTCTGGTGCCACCTCTTACAAAGAACATTGGGAGCTTGGAGCACGGGTAGAAAAGAGCCACAAAAATAATTTGGGGGCTGGAGAAAATGCCTGAGACTTAAAGAGCTCGTTCTGTTGAGCTTGTCAACAAGAAGACTGAGAGATGTGCAAGGACCTCCCTGGGGAGAAAATGCTGGGCACTAAAACCCTGTTTCATCTACCAGAGAAGGAACAAGAACCCATGGCTGGAAGTTAAAGATGGAGAAATAAGGTCTGAATTTCTAAGAGTGGAGGTGATTAACCAATGGAACAAACGCCCAAGGGAGGTGGTGAGGGGCTTCCCCATCTCTTAAAGGCTTCAGATCCAGGCTGGACGTCACTCTGTTTTGGCCAAACCCAAGTGACTGGGTCACTACAGGGGGAACTGAGTGAAGATCCCTGGGTATACAGGAGGTCAGACTGGGTTATCCTATGGTCGCTTCTCGCTTTGAACTCTGAATATGGGAGGAGAGGACCAGAATGGCCTTGTCACGAAGGATGGACCCTCTCTTCCCTCTCTCTCTCTAGGACAATGAGTGCATGCGCATCAAGATCTTGGGTGACTGCTACTACTGTGTCTCGGGCCTGCCAGTCTCACTCCCCAACCACGCACGCAACTGTGTCAAGATGGGTCTGGACATGTGCCGGGCTATCAAGTGAGTGCGGATGGCTGCCAAGAGAGACCCACACCTCTGGGAGTACTTGACGCAGGTGGCCCAGCCTTGGGTTGCCATGACGGGCTTCAGAGCCTGCTCTAATGGGCTGTGTCCCCCACCTCTTATCCTCCCCCAGGAAGCTACGGGATGCCACCGGTGTGGACATCAACATGCGGGTCGGGGTGCACTCGGGGAACGTGCTGTGCGGGGTCATAGGGCTCCAGAAGTGGCAGTACGATGTCTGGTCCCATGATGTGACGCTGGCTAACCACATGGAGGCTGGAGGAGTGCCAGGGTGAGAGAAGGGCGTGGGGGTGCCCCCAATGGTGCATGATTCATGGGTGTTTGTGTGTGTTGGGCCACCACCGGATGGTGCATGGAGGTACTCCATATAGTATGTGCGAGTATTTGTGTGTGTGTTTAATCCCCCGATGGTGAATGGAGGAACTGCATATCTGTGTATGTTGTGTTGTGCTGCCTCCTTATGAGGAATGGAGAAAATCCATGTAGTGTGTTGTGTTATGTTGTGCTGACACCTAATGGTTCATGGAGGAACTGCATATCCATGTGGCACTGCCCCCAAGTGGCATGTGGAGGAATTATATGCCTTTGTGCTGCTGCCCTCTCTGATGATGGAAGGACTATCCGGTGTCTCTGAGGGGTGTGCTGCCCCCTGCAGGGAAAAGAAGGAATTATGCCTGGAATTTTCAAAGCCTCTCCAGGAGAAACGGGGCATCAGCTTGGAACATCACAGCCTGCATATGTGTGTGTGGAGGGCTGCCCCCTACTGGTGCATAGAGGAATTGAACATTTATGTGGCGGACTGCCCTCTACTGGTGCACAGAGGAATTGCATGCCCTCTTTTCCACAGGAGGGTGCATATAACAGAGGCCACCCTGTCTCACTTGGGAGGGGTCTATGCTGTGGAGGAAACCTGTCGCTGGCAGCGTGACCCCTTCCTGAAGGAGAACAAAGTAAAGACGTTCCTGGTCATTGACCCCTGGGTGAGTTTATGGTGCCAACAGGACACTTAACTGGTGCTGATGCAAAGATTCAGCGCACAAAGGGTTAATGGTGGGGGTGGGGGGTGGGAAATGGGATGGGGCCTTTCTCCTCTAGGGGGCACTGGTTCCCATCCAGCCCCTAGGATGGGGACAGACTGGCTCAGGGGGGCAGGGAATGGGATAGGGGGTGAGTGTCTCTCTCTCTCTGGCTGTTCTGCTGTTCTCCATGGCACCAGGCGAGAGCGGAAAGCTGCAATACCCTGTCCCCGGTGCCTGGGGAGGGCCCGAAGATGAGGGCGTCGGTCCGTATGACCCGCTACCTGGAGTCCTGGGGGGCCGCCAAGCCCTTTGCCAACCTCAAGCACCTCGATACCATCCCAGCTGATCAGCCAGGATTCACCAGGAACAACCATTCGGTGTGTCCAGCAGGGGGAGACGTTTGACATGGCCCTGCCGAGCCCCTTCCAGACCCCAGCCCTACTCCCCGCAGCACGGCGCCCCCGTGCCGAGCCCCCCCCAAACCCCAGCCCTACTCTCTGCGGCACGGCACCCCCCAGCAAGCCCCTTGGTGCCACTCCCTGCAGCACGGCGCCCCCTGCTGAGCCTCCCCCCACACTCCCCGCAGCACGGCGCCCCCTGCCGAGCCCTTCCCCCACACTATTTAATCAACCGAGCCCCAGTTCTCAGTTCCTTCACACATCACTAGGGGGCAGCAGCACAGACTGACACATGCCGTGCTTTAAAGGGGTAGCACAGCCACCCACAAGTGGGAGCTGTCTTTCCCTGAGTCCCCCAATCGGGGCAGCACAACACCCCATAAATCAGACCCCCCCTTCCCTTTTCTCTCCACAGGATAGCTCTCTGGGGTCCCTGAACCAGGCAAAGACCATGGAGCGGTGAGGTGTATCCCCTCCCTGTCCCTTACAATGTCAGGGGGGCATGAATATCTTTGGGGGAGGCAATGAGGGATGGGATCCTTGCTTGGCCCGTAGACCCCTCCCCCTATGAATCAGCGAATCCCAAATTGTGATGCTCATTCTTCTTTCCTCGCCTTGGTGGATTTGGGGGTCTTTGTTCCAAGGGGTAGAAATGGGGGTGGCTGTGGGGGGCTTGAGGGTGTCGGGTTCAGTGGGGTTTGGAGGGTCAGTTGGGGGGTCATTTTGGGGGTCAGGCTGTGGGGAAATGATGAATTGGGGGTCAGTGTGGGGTGATTTTTGGGGGGTCAGGCTGGGGGAAGCTGGCGAATTGCAGCAATGTGGGGGAGATATTAAGGGGTTGAGGCTGGGGGCACAGTGGGGATTTTTAGGGGGTCAGTGTGGGAGGTGATTTTGGAGTAGTGGGCTGCATTTGGGGGTTCCCTGGCACTGGTCCCCTATGGTCGTATTGGGGCGCCCCCCACTACTGCCTCCTGGGGTCACTGACCCTATAACAGCGGTTCTCAATGTTCTGAGCCCCCCACATGTTATAAAAACTCCAGGGCCCAGTGGGGGAGGGGGGACTCTGGGGTGGGGCGGCTCGGGCATAGGTGTAGTTTGACTTCTGTTTGGGCGGGGGGGGGGTAGGGACCAGCGGGGCTCAAGCCAGCTCCACCTGGCGGGGTCTGGGAAGGGAGCGCCACCTCCACCCCCCCGACTCACCTCAGCAGGCCACCCAGCCTGTCTGGGGTGGGGTGGGGTGGGGATGCAACCAAAAATTATAACTGAAAGGTGGGGGGCTCAGCTCAAAAAGTTTGAAAA